CGCTATGATTTAGCGCCACGATTTTGGTATCGCCGAAAATCGTAGCGTTATGCATCTTCCTACTGATCTCTGAGCAGAATATGCATCACGGTCTTACATACAGTTCTTTAAACTCTGGCGGTGAGGGTGGGTCGCTTAGTGAAGCCATTCCGAATAGCTGCATAGAGTCGCTGTGATCGGGTAATCTAATTGTTGTTGGTCTCGGGGGGCCTGGAGGATCACTCCATCTCTGTACTATTCGTGGTTTCCACGGTGGCATCGCTTGAATGTTGACTATAAGTAGCCACGCGAAACAGTTTATAATGTCTAGAAAAAAGCGTAAATGCCGATACTGACTTTGTTAACTGTCTGCACGATTGCAGGTTATGTTTATCTGCGGTACCCGATAACAGCGACGCTTTTTGAAATTTAATTCAACCTCAGTAAGCGACATACCCCCACCACTGAAATTCGAGGAAGTTTGAAGACCTGTATGTAAGACCATGATATGCATTACTAAAAGAAATGGTACTATGCAATAGTAGGTAGTATCGATATACGCCACTCGTAGCGGATATGATTTGCTGGAATAATAAGGGGGGGACGAATAAAGATTGTAAAATTAAAAATTAGTATTAAATACTTATTTTGAACTAACTTATATATCAAATTCAGGTCACGGAATAAAACACAATAATAGCGTGTATAAAATTGTAAATTAAAAGTGCTAAAATTATATATGTATATTCAGTAACAGATTACGTCGTCAATCAACAGAATTTTTTAGGATCCGCTTTCCCCTCTGATCCAAATAACTCTCAATACTTTTTAAAAGTCAATCTTAATAGTACAAATTACCTATTAATACACTTTAAGTCATTTTATTCTGGGTTCGGACAGTGTATTTAATTGTATCCATGTTCGCAGCGAAAGGAATAATATTATTATAAAAAAAAAACCCTTTATACCCCATATTAAATGTAGCTAATTAAGTTAGTATGAATATTTATATAATTTTCATTGTACTCCACAACTCAGAATAAAATATAATTTCCTAAATAATCGATGTCTATACAATCATATGATATGCATAGTACCTCTGTCTTTAGACAAAGGAGTCGTATCACATCCGAATTAAAAAGTTTTCTTTTTACTAGTAAGTGATATGTTCGGGGCAGTCAGACTATCACTAGCATCCTGTAGACTAATAGCTGGAGAGTTCGATGTGCAGGAGCTAGATTTTCCTGATGAGGAATTAGAGTTTTGAATGTTCGGCGTGGACGTTCTTCCTCTAAGAAGCACAGCTCTATCAGTAGACTTGCTTGCATCCTTTATTGAGATCGAAGAGACATCACTGAGATCTGGAAGGCCACCAACGTCTGATTTAAGTCCTGGAGACATCATTCTTCTGGCAGTGTTCATAGGTGTCACATCTGAATTCGAAGAGGAACTCAAAGCACTAGCTTCTCTTGTTTTTTTAAGAGTTGTTGCTGCCCAACCAAGACCAAGCTTCTTCAACGTCACTTCCATTTCTTCCAGTGTCGATGCATATTTTAATACATCAGATGACGGTGTACTAGTTATCTCAGATATTCCAGATAGTGCAGAGAAACTGTTGAAACTTGTACTAGTTATTTTATTTTCACGATTAGCTGCACTAGTTGAATCAGACTGTTCTGATCCTTGTCGGATGTTCTGACCTGATAGCACTTGAGTTAATGGCCGATCTGAATCGGTTGATTCAAATTTACTCAACTCTCCAGAACCACCACCAGACATACGGCGACTAGTTGTTGGAGACGATTGTTTATTTTTCTGTGGGGAATCCTGCGGACTTCTTTGTGGTGATTTTTCAGTCGGCAGGGGCGCCACATGCACGGATGATTTTCCTATTATTTGGGATGTTTTTCGTCCTTGGGATTCTTCAGATTTTCTTGTTGAGGATTCTAAACGAGTTGGAGTCTCTGATTGTGACGCATTATCCAGCGCCAGGCTACGTCGAGACTTACCAGTTGGACTTCTGACTGAGCTTTGACTTTTGTTAACTGTGTCTGGTGTATCAAGTTCTACGATTGTTGATAAATCATGACCGGGTGAGACTAGTATGTCTGCTCTGAAATAATAATTTCATTGGTCATCACATAATTCTTTGTAGTAGAATTAAATTGCGTTGGTCCATACTGTATGGATTACGTTCAAAGTACCTGTAGCCGTTGTTACCTAAGGTAACTGGAGGTTTTCCTCTACCATTTGAAGATCGTTGATTTTCTTCAGGACAAGATGAAGTCCTCCGTGAAACTTTAGGTATTCCAGCTAACACAGGCACAAACTCTTCTTCCTTAGTAGACTGTAAAAAGAATTATATATTATGTCTGTTGACTTTTAGAATTCACATAATAAATTACCACTGTTGAACATAATATACAGCATTACCGTAAAATTCCAAGAAATTTGCCTATTTTCAGGATTCGAATTTTCATCTGCAGAAGGCGCTACTGTAGCAGAATCAACAGGTGGTCTTGTCGGCGACAAACTCTTTCGTTGCTCATTCTCATTAGCCTGCATCCCTTCGTCCTTGACTTCTGATTTATTCAGACTTTTGCTTTGCTCCAAAATTTCTTTAGACAATTTTTTCACCATGTCTTCATGTGGACTCGAAGAAGTCGGCCACGGCGCATCAGCAGCACCAATAGGTGCAGAACGTGGTGTTTTTAATGCGCGCAATCGTCCTGGCGATAGATTTATAGGCTCGTCGCTAATGACTCTAGGTTTTGCTCTAGTTTTCTCATCCTTAGTATTCTGTTCACGTGCTTCAGGTTCCTCAGTACCGGTGCTCGTGGATTCCTTAGTCACTCGGAAAGAACCAGGTTGGGCAGCTTGTAGTGGTTTATTTCCAGCAATTATTCGTTCTGAATCCATCAGAGTTTGTGCTAGTTGGCTGTGAATAGCTTCAATACTGTCGACTAATCTTCGTACACTATAAAGATCACTGCGCATGGGTCGCGCTGGTGGAAATTGCATGAAACTACTTTCATCACTTGGTGTCACTAGAGAAAATTCCATTCCTGAAAAGCAAAGTCATTAAATTTCGATTATTTAGTTTATACAATACTATTAATATAGTATGTGTTGCTTAACAAAAATCTTATCTACCTCTTTGATCATTACGAACACGTTCAATTAAATCGCTCAAAGAAGCAATGCGTTCGGTGCACATATGTTGCAGATCGTCATATTTTTTAAGAATTTCGGGAGAATTCTTTATAGTCTCGTCATAAGCTTCAAGTTTCTCATGGATCAGCGTGCAAGTAGGATTTCGACAGGTGCATCTTTGTTTTTGCACCGGTTTTCGTCTCACCCGCCCTGGTGACCGTATTTGATTTTTTTGAGTGGAGATTGTCTCTGTCAAGGTTGAACGGTCTTCACGACCAGTCTGAGAGCTGGTCGTGCTAGTTCCTGTATACTGTAGAACCATGTTAAAATGCTCAGGACGAGGAACATTTGATGGTAACATCATAGTCCTTGGGGATGGTGTTTCTGGCGATGAGACGGGACTGACCAGTCTTCGAGGTGGGCGTTCCAAAGATGAATCCAATAATTCCAGTATAGGTGTACTATTATTCAACAGTCTTGCCAACATAGCGGGAGCTGATGGTGGAGGACTTGCATATGAAGTAGATGTGTCTGAGGTTTCTCTGATTTTTACAGACCTGCGTCTTGATAGTCTTATCGGACCCGCAGTCGTGCTAGGTCCCGGTGCAGGTCCAGCTGCAGTAGAAACACGTTCTTGGGTCTGTTGATTGGGAGGAGTCTGATACGCTTGTGAACTCTCCGTACTAGAATCCACTTGGATTCTTGCATCTATCCGTTTTCTCAAAGACGTTTTCTTCACAGGTGTTTTTCTTGGAGTTACTGGTGCAGATCTTGCTGCTCTCTTTGACGGAGACCCAGTCTTACTCGATGGTGTCGAATGCGCTTTCGCTAAAAATCTAGGTGAACGTCTTGCCTTTGTGCATTTTTTCTTTTTTGGAGTCACGCGAACGTATTCTTTATCAATATCAATCACTACTCCCGTTAACATCGACCCTGAAGAACTACTGTCTTGCACAGGCCTCGCCAGAGATACTTTAACTTGATTGTTAGAACTATGTCTAGACTGAGGATCCTGACTACTACTTCCAGGTAAAGTCTCTTGCTCCGAATTATTTTCCTTGGTAGGCTTTTTGTCTGGTACTAACTCAACCTGGACAGACTGATCACGTGCTGCACCTATTTGCTCCAGAGTGGAAGTCTGTATAGCAATTTCTATTTTTCTTGGCTGCTGTTTCTTTTCTTTTTTACAACACTCTTCAGGATTAGACAGATTGATTACTTTAATCTCAGGCGAGGGAGGCTTTATAGGTGGAGATTTCTTCGAAGGTGATTTTCTTGATAATGACCTGGATGGCCCTGGCTGTGGCTCGTCAAACAGTGGTCTGAGGCTGGCATTCAAAACTTCATTTGGTAAATTAGCGCCAAATTCTCTCAGTAAAAGACGTTTTTGCCTTTCAACCTTTTTCAGCATCTCCAAAATTTGCTCCTCGCGAGATAATTGTTCACTTTCTTCATTCTCTTGCTTTCCACGATCCTTCTCAGAAAATGGCGCATCCTCCCATACTGGAGATGGCTCACGAGATCGAATCTCTCTAGGTGGTAGAGTTATAACTCTTTCAGGAATTACAGGCGAATGATGATGTTCAGCAGTTTCATGCATAATTTCTTCGAAAGCTCTATCCATTTTTCGCTGACGTTTTTCTTGGCATTCTTTACGTCGAGCTTGACTCATATGAATATCCTCAGTCTACGTAAACAATTACATAATAGAAAAACGTCAGGTAAATTATATAAATGTTACAGATATTGTTGTATAATTAAAATACACTCACGGGGGGACTATGAATTTGACTAGCTCGTAATTTACGCTCTTCCCTAGAGAGGTGGTCCATGTTCTCGATAAGAGTTTGATAATCTCTTCGTACTCGTTCTCTAAGGATGGCATCATTGCCACGTCTCTGTGCAGTAAGTCTTCGACTCTCAGCTAACTGGGTCTCCACACTTTCAGATTCCTGAACTTCGCGTGCTAGGTCCTCTGCATTCGGCTGTTTCACAAGATTTCAATTTAGAAACATTAATCTTGTAAATAACTGATTATACTTAATTCGAGTTTTACTTCATTAGTAAGATCCACTCGTTCCACCAATCCAACAGGCCTCTCATAAGCGTTTCTCTGTCTAGTACTGTGATCATAAACTTGCACTTTGCTACTAGCTATAGATGTGTGATGTTTTGGTGTCTTTTTTGTTTTACGAGGTTCACTGCCGCCATCAGAGAAATACGAGGAATCATCACTCAATGAACTAGAACTGCTACTAGAATCCTGTTTGTAGTCATCCGGATTGTACCTTAAAAAAATGTAGTATATCTTTATTTTAATTTGGGTCACTTTTATGATAGCAGTAAGTATAATACAAGTAGACATCATATTTTTATTACCTAGCAACTTTATCGGCTTTGGACAGAATGCTGTTAACGGAGGGTGCCGATTTACGAGGTTGTTGTTCATCGGAATCGCATGCAACCGAAGTGTGTGGAAGCTGTGAAATATCTGTAACGCCTTTAGATTGGACACGTTCTGGTGTTCGCTTTTGCTTTTGTAAGCCGGATGGTCCTGCTTGTGGCGACGATGGTGTTTTTTCTTGAATTACATTTCGTAACGGTGACATTGACTTTTGCGATTTTGAGGATACCGCACTGACGGGTTGCGTCTGCTTCTTTTGCTGGACCTATCGTTTAAACGTGTGATTAGTAATAAGATGTTGAATATTTGTTAATTGTTATATAAATTTAACAAACTTCTGCTTTCTTAGGGACCATCTGTATAACTACCTTAGGAAAGTTTTTGCGTCTTTCGTTTAATTTATTTGAATCTTTATCTTCCATTTCATCAGTATCAGAGGAATCTGTGGCTGGGTTCTTTCCCTTATTGGGTAAATTTGCAACCATAGCGGATCTTACATTTTCAATTTCCCGCACTTGACGAAGTCTTTCTTGCTGAGCGACATGTGGGTCTTCCTTCTGTCATTATGGGAAAAATTATCTTAAGATTTTAAATATAAATACATCAAAAATATTATCAATATTGTAAGTACTTTGATTAATATTTAAGAATTAAGATATTTTAATAGTTAATACATTCTTATTGATGCAATAGAAACAGTTCACGATTTACTCTAATTAAAAATTACCTTTGACAGTTCCTTTGTACGTTGCATTGCCTCTCTTCCACGTTCCATAGCTATAGCACGATTTTTCTTTTTCTCAGCTTCTAATGTTGCAAATACATCAGCCTGTAATGCTGCTGAAGTATGAGCCATTCCAATGTCTTCCATCTCTTCTTGATACTTGGATTGTAGTTCAAGAATCTTTCTTTCATGAGCTTGACGCAACTCTGACTTGCCATCTTTTTCAAGTTTTGATAATTCTTTCTGTGTCAAGTTCTTTGCTCTTTCTAATAATCTATTAGATATTTCTTTAGATTGCTGCCTGACCTGAAAAAATATACTATTTACTAAGCTACCAATATTTCTGGATCCATATTTATGAAAACAAAATTATAAAATAGATATTAGATGGAAAATTTCTTTCTTCATTCAAAGTAAAACTATTAAACTAAAAATGCAACAGGTACAATAACTGAGGGAGAAAACACCAAGAATATAGACAGAATAAGATATTCAAATTGTTTCAGAAACTTTTTCATTCCAAAATTACATTCACCAGTCAACTTATTATAATGAATATAAGCATTACACAATGTGAAATGGCTTATAATTTGTGCTTGAATGTTACCATGATAAAAATAATTAAACTAATCATTTCCTGATACAGTCACAATGCATAAATTTTCAGACTTTTAATTATTGATATAAAAACATTAAACATATTGCAAATATTAAATGCTATACAAAATTATCACTAATTGCATGATGAAAAAGGATTCACTGTCAGTGTTAATAATTCAGTTGAAATTGGAAAAAGTGACCATATACAATCAAAACTCGTCAATAGAAGTGCAATGCATTACTTGATATATCTATTTAACGTTGCTATTTTAGGCAAAAATAAAAGCAGTTGTATTTTTAATGTTTTTAAATATACTCCACCTGTTCGAGGCGTAACCTCCTTCGCCGATCCCTTTCGTTCTGTTTAATTAGATCTAAATCCGACAGCACCATTCTTCTTCGACGAATACAAACTGGATTTCCACTAACAGTAACATTGATAGACATATTTCAAGTTTAAAAATTCTATTTTGTCATAACATTTTCCGTTAAGACTTCTTCCCAAGTCAAATTATAATAGCGGGCATTGACTTTTGTTCGATTTCTCATAGAGCGTCAGCAAGCTAACATTTTCGCAGTTCAATTATCGGTAAAGTCACTTTACGTACAGCTTTGTCGATAAAATCACTTCCGTTAACCTATGAATAAGGAACACAGTATAAGCGCCATCTTCTAGAAGCTGAACATATATAGCATTTCTGTATACATATAGGGTTCCAACGGAGGTTCCAAAAGAAAGTAAAGTTGTTCTTCATAGACTTTTAATCTATGGTCTTGTAGATAACCCAATATACGTTTAAATTGTTATTTCATTGATGAGGAAAAGTATGCATGATATTATGAAAACTAGTTTATTATCATACTCTAGATAATATTAAACACACAAATTAGTTATTTTAGAGTGGATATAACTATGCGTACTTACACTGACGAATAGGATAAGGTTCAATAAATTGTTTATCCAAGTAACATGGTACTTATATAAGTATATTTATATATTTATAATATGTATATAATAATTAATAAAATATAATGTTTAATAATGTTAATCGTATGTCTACAATATATATATTATCATCTCGGTTCGTCAAGCGTCGCCGTCGTCGTCGTCACTCGTAAAAACTATCATTCATTACAATCTTATATCCTGGGTACTCTTAATAATTCCAATACAATTTTCTCCGAGAAAATCCTGTTATAATTAATTAATAAAACATACAATTTAAAAAATATCTTGGGCACATAGCAAATGCGCAAAAATCATTTACGCAAGGATTCTATTAAAACATGTTAAATATAAATAAAACAAATATTCAGAAATCATTTTAATTTTTAAATTCAGTGAAATTATGTCGCATATCAACGTTGTAGCGCCACAGTTAACGTGGCATGTTTAAAATGTTCAAGGATCCTAGATTATAAAACGCAATAGCCAATTAATTCCAATTAATTGAAAAAGTCAAAAATATTCGATCTAATCGTACATGTAGCGTTGGAACGAAGACATTCTCGGATATTACTCACACAACTTAATATCGAAAGCCTTACACAAAATTTTCTTTATGCGTAATGTTAGCATTAGATTGTTTTAATTAAATTAACGAATTATCGTCCGAGACAGTCGTGGCATGACGCGAATATGAACTTCAATTATTCTGAAGTGTCGAGATACGTCGCGCACAACGAATTCTCCTCCAACAAACATATAAGAGCAGATCAGTGATGGACCCTTACTGGTCCATCAGATTTACCAACGGACCACTAAGAGTCGAGAACTAAGTCTCTTTTATATGTTAGTTGAGTCACGTAGTTACGGGTTTAAAACCACGCCTAATTAGTCGATAACTATTATTCTCGATGTCATTTGCGTCGCCGTGACATTAGCGACGCAAACGAGTCATAAAGAGAAGGAAAAAAAATGTCCTCTGCCTCTCGATAAATTGCTGAATTAAGAAGCTGTCGCAAGTCCGAAGATCAGACGATTAATATTATCAAATGTTATATTCAAAAGTACGTATTTCAAGGTTCTTACGAATATGAATATTCTCTTAGACTCGCGACACTCTCCCGTTCTTACGACAGCGTTTTTTTTATCGATACTCTGTATTTGATTATCTATCCATTGCTACGAATTATTATAGGGACGCCACAGTAGCGCCGCCGACGGAATTCTCGCGAAGCAACGGCGACGACGACACCACCAATTTTTTCATCTCGAGGAGTTTAGTTTCGTGAAAATATTAAAAAGCGGAAAGAAATTTAAACAATGAGTAGGTCCTTCGCGTGAGAAAAACGATGGTGCCGCAATTTGACCGAGCACCAAAGGAAGAATCTCGACCGATGAAATATCGCTTACTATAATTACGTCTTTGCGTAATACGTATAAAGCGTCGGAAAATAGAATTATAGAGAGGAGGAGAAAAAGAGTTTACCTTCCTGCCTTTCCTTGTGGCTGACTCCTCCAATGAGGAGATGTGCCAGTGAAAAAGAGTTTAAGAGAAATGAGTTTATGACATAGAATAAGGAAGAAGTGTGTAAGACAACGGGGGACAACGGCCGAGATGGGACACTCGGTTCTTCGCTAGCAGTGCCATCTAACGACTAAGATTCGTCGCTAACCTAGCCACTAACTTGTTGCTACATAAATAGAAAACACGGCTGGTAAAATTCGGTCGGTCTTGCAGCCCTCTAAAGGTACCTTATACTGATATTGATTAGTGGGTACATGCGCCTCCGTCATTTCCGATGCGTTTTCCCCTTCCTATTTACCCGGCAGTCGAAATATTACAGCCTCGCGCCGAAACTTGAACGCACTTTATGGGTTATTCGTCCCTATTGAAAATGCGCGAGGCGTTTATATGTGTTATAAATATTATATGTATAAATATATATATCCATATGTATATATATTTATATATGTTTATTACACGAATAGCATGAAATCTCAATCGCGGTATACACGTTGAACCCAGGAGGACAAGACGGCACATTTCGCCTCCCGTAATGTTGTCATAACTCACATAACCTCCAATTATTACCGATTCCACTCATCACCCGATATACGGCATTGGCTTCGCACGGAGTATTGCAGCAATACCAGTTAATATTTAGTTTAAAATTCATCGTGAAGTAAATAAATGATATAATAATATAATGACGTAATGCACTATTTGTAAAATTAATAATATAATATATATATATATATAATATAATAATCAATTATATAATAATGTAGTAACGAAGACGATGACGATGATGATACAATATAATAATAATAATAATAATAATAATAATAATAATAATAATAATAATATGTCTTTGCGCCGTACGGTCAACCCCGAGCAAAGGTCCTGGCGAGCACGAAAACCAGGAATTTCCGGTTCTATCATCATATCAGAGATATAGAATAATGATTAATCTCTACTATGATGAATATTGTATTATTCGGCTCGTAAGGGCGATAATCCAATGTGTCAGGATTGTTCGACCTTAAGAACCGTTAACCGTCGACCGTATGGCTTTAATTGCATTTTCATTAAAATGATGAGATCGTTTGGTATGATGTGTATATTGTGTGTGTGCCCGAGCGCACGCGCAAATGTACATTTTGTGTTCTTGTTTATGTGAATGGGAAGATATTTATGTACAGTATATATTATGGAAGGTTACTCAAGCCAAACCCACCAATCGGACCAAATCGTACGAATCAAATAGACACGCTATCTACAATCAGTGCGATCGGCTTGAATAACCCCGCGAATATACTTCTACGTAGACACGTGCAACGTATTTTTCGTTTTGTCTGTCTCTTTGAATTACTCATCAGTAACAGCTTTTCTTGTTAGTAGTCTTTTCTTTGCGTAGCGATTTTTATACTTCATACGAATATCCGTATGTAAGGACCAGTTCGAATTTTTCAGATTTCGTATCAAATACTTAAAAATTTTCTTTTTCAACGAATACAACAGTTACTGTTGAGCGCGGACTTGTCTCATTTACTTTTTTTTTTCTTTTTTTTTTTATCATAACTCGTTACTCCGTGTTGTCAGTAGCACGTCCACTCGGTGCATTCAGATTGAGCATATGATGTGCGATATTCGTGATATAATTTCTCACCCTTTGTTTTCTTATAAAACATAACCCAAAAAGGTCTCGAATTTCATTGAATCACAAAATCTTTCATAGTCATTCTCATTCTGGCGCAGGGACGCGCGATACTCAGTAATCAAAGATGATATTCCATTGTGGCACTCGTATGTACATTATGCCTTATATTCTATCGCTACATTAGGTCAGGTCACGTTTACATAAAAAGTCGAGCTGACACGCAGATCGCGCGAGCGATTTAAATTAGTGCCTACTTTAATCCCAAAGACGATCGTAGAAATTTTTGATCTTATTATCGTTCATCGCGACGTTTTATGTGAAACGTCCCTTAGGGCGGTAGTAATTGCCATTCAAGCTACATGCGCCATTTGCAAAAGTGGTGAGAGAGCGCGCACGATTTTAATCGCGTTACTTATATATTGCGAACGCACGCACATTACGGCTCGACTTAAGGTAGGCTCGCACTTAGCCACGATTACCGGTACGCTTATTGATTTTTTCTTCTTTCTTTTTTTCTCTTCAAAGTAATTGTACTTGATCTTAGTCGTACTATTACGACATATATTTCTCCTTTTCGTCTCTTCACGACAGAACTGAACTTTACGACATTTGAGTGGTTCGATTTACGACACGGGAGACTCTCGAGATTAGGTGTTATTTCGTAACAACTAGATGGGCAATTTTCATGAGATTTTTGATAGCATTGTTATCAATGGACTTGAGAATGTACAACGCGAAAAATCATTAGTATCGTATAGGTCGCAAAGTTGTCTGTCGTGAGGATACGCCATTCTGCTTTGAGCACTGTTGACTGCTAGATGGAATCATATTAAACTGTTGACATTTAGCCGATTGATTTCGATCTTTTCGCTCGCGTGATTTCGCGCAACAATTTCGCGTGTAATTTTCTCCCGCAAAAATGACGATTGTGCTCGACCTTACAAAATGGCGTTATCGGGACGTGCTAGTTGCGCGTGTTACCCACGCTGCCGTATAAATGTATAAGACGACGCCTTAACACATTAGTTGCCTATGAACCTTGAACAACGGCGTCATCCGTATTTCTTATTGTTTGTCTGGCAGTATAGAATTGGTGTATAAAAAATTTTTTTCGACTTTTTCTCGCTATCGGTGCGCTTCTCATCCGATAATACGGTCCTTCTTTTTTTTTTCAATTTTTTTTTTTCTTTTTGCGAACCGGCTCAACAGACCCGAATAATTTAGATAAAATATCACAATTAGCTCTTTATCGTTCTTATTCTTCCTAATGTCACTCATTGGCCTCAAAGAGTTATTCGATACAGCGCAGACATTTTTTTGAAAACTATTTCAAACTCTCGAGACGCTGATGTCGAACCGCGCCAGGCGCTTAGTAGGAAGAAGCTCATTAGATTTCGGTGCGAGCCTGTGACAACCAAGTCCCCGCCCGCAGATACTTGAATCACGCTCGATTTGTCCGAAAATTCATGAACTGTAATTGGAACACTCCTGGATTGCTCCTCGTCATTTTTGGAAAAGCAGAACGCTGCCGTGAATTACATCGGTATTTGTAGTACTGAATATTAAGACACCCCAAGCCTCGTTTTCCGCAGCTTTGAGACTATGACCTGATATCCATCCCGACAAAGGCAATTCCGACGGGGTCGCTTGAGGGCCAGCCCCAACCGTCGTGAATCCGTCATGGGATTAGACTTTCCTAAGAGAGGTGTCCGGCGGCTCTTAGTCAAGGAGTGGACAGCATTCGTGTTTAAGCGAAGGACCGAAACCCTCCGAATGAAGAATAATTAGGCTGGGGAAGGGAGTGGTCGATAAGTTCGAGGTTGGGCTGGCAGAAAATACCATATATAAGAAGGTGTTCTTTCAGCCATGCGAAAGATTAGTGCCGCGAGCGGCCGTTGTCGGCCGCTGGTGCGGCAGCCGGCGCAAGATGGCGGCCGGCGGGACGTTCAAAGCCGGCAAACTGCTATTAGACTTCTTTTTTCTTCTGGCCTAGTCGCCGAAGCGACTGCAGGCCTTCTTCCACTTGCACTGGGTGCACCAGAGGTCACGATGCTCCATACCGTAAACCTTTCGACACTTCTTTGTTTCTCCCCGAATCCGCCTAGGTGACGCTGGCATTTTCGTCGACACTGCCAGCAAGCCCATGTTAGGCTGATACGTAAGCTGGAACGGTCGGGGCGACAGTTTGATGTGCTTACTTGGTGTATTCTGGAAAATGAATATCACGAGAGTGAATACCATCGAAATCTTACGACATCGAAGGTGACTAGTAGTACTATACTGATGACTGCATACCGGAGTAGCGGAACTGATGGTATTGCTCTTTTCTCGAATGCCGACGGTGACGAGATTGTCGGTAAGAACGGAAGATGGACTCGCTTCGAGGCGCAGCTGCTTCTGGTATTCAGGATCCTCGTGAGGTGGCCTTGCCATGTCCCGATGGGACATTGTCGGCGGAGAGCTCATGTGGTTCAGTGGAACCTCCTGATAATAAAACTCCTCTTCGTGGTCAGACATGACGTCGTCCTCCTCGTTGTCGAAACCTTTTGATTTCTTAGGACTGTTCATAAAATAAATAATCGGATTATACAATATTATTAGAATTTTTCATTTGGCCTAGAAATATCAGTCGTTAATAAATAACGTTCGATCAATAAATTACTTTAATATATATCCTATATATTTGGATTGAGATCTCTCCTCTTTTGTTTATGGATTGTTGAGCTTCCTAAGTTATTTGGATCAGCGTCTTTTAAGATGTTCCTTAATTATACACCATCAAACTTTATTTTAAGGATCGGTAGCGATATATATATTTGAAGCTAAAAAGATATAAGATATTTCATTGGGAAAACTCACCCTAAGTGGAGCTGGCGTACGTGTTCCTCGATAAGGGCACAGGTGGTTTTAATCTCTGAGCATCCAGGCCAGAAGCATTTGAAAACCGTCGTTGGATTAGCCTGCAACGAGGAACAGAAGAAATTTTAAACACAAAATTATAGACGAATGAATTAACGTAAAAAAAAAAATCATCGCATATACTGCGCTGTATAAAATTCTATCCGATGAACCTGCTACTCTTTATACGTGGCGCCATCTTTAAACTCAGCGGATAACCCCATCGCACGGAGAGTCATTCGACCAGATTAGGTGGTATACTCGGAACGTGACTCGGAATAACTCGAGTATCTCCGGCAAGACTCGGCCGGTGTCGGATATAAAAATCGATAAGGCTGGCCTGCCGGCTCCATGCTTCTTTGTTTATATGCTGAGACACGTGTTATTGACCCATGAGCAATTCTTGTCATTTTGTCTTACTCAAGGCACAGCGGATCACGTCTTCGAAACTTAGTCAAGCCCTTGACTCTCGAGATACCGTTTCATTAGACCCACGATGAAATTATCGACATCGGCATTGTCTATGAAATTATTATCAGAGCTATGCGGGTCTGAACAAAAGATAGGTTAGGTCCTCGAATTCCCTTAACTGGTCTAAGCGGAGGCCACGATTACCACGATTGCCTGAGTGCAACGACCGAAATTCAACAACCTCAGCTCATTTACCGTGCAAACGGTTAGGCTATGGACGCATTCCTGCGATATCGGCCTAGGAGCGTCATTATCAACGACGCCATTATGTAAATCTGGTAAGCCGGGAAAAAGAAAAAATCACGGCATTATTTCGAAATTCTAATCTACGTTCATTACAGGATCTAGGGAATACTTGAATATTTATATCTTTTTCAAATCGGAACCCCACTGTCTCATTACGTTACTGCATTCGTGTTTTTGCATAATCTTTATATTGCGCAATATTCCACGCTTTCCATATCCGTATACACACATTTATGTCACCATTTCGATTATCAGTACACAAAACCATTATCGCTCTCATCGAAACGAATATAATGACCTGTCAAAAGCGCGCGTGACGCTCGGCCGGCGTCACGAATTGGCACGACGATTCATTCCTACCGCCATTGTTATCGTTAATTTTAAAAGGGCCTGGCTCCATCTATGTATCTGTTTATCTCTTTCTCTCTCTCTCTCTCTCTCTCTCTCTCTCTCTCTCTCTCTCTCTCTCTCTCTCTCTCTCTCTCGGAGTCACTATCCCTCAAGGTCCCTGGCTGTTTCGTGACATCACCACTGAAACAGTACACGCGGGTCCGAACGGGACGAAGTCAGCCAAGAGCATGGCAGCCATTGCTGGAGGTCACAGACCTTCTATGCCGACTGCCAGCCAATGCTCCCTCTGGCTCACTCTCTTGTTCTCTCCCAATCTTCTCATTCCTCTCCCTTTTCCTTTGCTTTGCTTTACTTCAGACGAGCAACGTTCCCTTCGAGTCTTTGCCGTCCTTCAGCTATCCCTCTGGCAACCGACGCATCTCAATGCCATTCCCAATAACGAGAGACCCACGCCAGTAGAACTGATCCCCCAAAAAAACACTTACTTGTAAAAAACTACGCCAAGTACAGGAGTGCTGTGTATTCCTCTAATAAAAAGGATTGATATCAGATTATTGAAGCCAAGTACATAAGTCACTACATGTTTGCCTATCGTATGATCTAGCACTGGCCCATAATTTTAATAGTATTTCCAAATTTCCTATAACGTTTACACTACTCTTTTACATTACTACTACTTCCCGTAGTTGATTATGATTTATTGGTCATTTAATAATTAATAAAACTTTAGGTGATTCCTTATCGAGTACTACTTGGCGGGTTCGTGCCAGGAATTCCAAAGTACTTACTTTGAACGTACTAACAGTATCCTGAAACTATATGTTTGTTATTAACCTTTTACCGTGATTATTTTTGACCAGTTATTGTTAATAAGCTGTATATAGAAAGTTGACATTGGTTTTGAGTTTGATGACTGGCATAATGAACGCAGATTTATGTCAAGAAATGCACGAACCCGCCAAGTAGTATTTGATAAGGAATCACCTAAAGTTTTATTAATTATTAAATGACCATTAAATCATAATCAACTACGGGAAGTAGTAGTAATGTAAAAGAGTAGTGTAAACGTTATAGGAAATTTGGAAATACTATTAAAATTATGGGCCAGTGCTAGATCATACGATAGGCAAACATGTAGTGACTTATGTACTTGGCTTCAATAATCTGATATCAATCCTTTTTATTAGAGGAATACACAGCACTCCTGTACTTGGCGTAGTTTTTTACAAGTAAGTGTTTTTTTGGGGGATCAGTTCTACTGGCGTGGGTCTCTCGTTATTGGGAATGGCATTGAGATGCGTCGGTTGCCAGAGGGATAGCTGAAGGACGGCAAAGACTCGAAGGGAACGTTGCTCGTCTGAAGTAAAGCAAAGCAAAGGAAAAGGGAGAGGAATGAGAAGATTGGGAGAGAACAAGAGAGTGAGCCAGAGGGAGCATTGGCTGGCAGTCGGCATAGAAGGTCTGTGACCTCCAGCAATGGCTGCCATGCTCTTGGCTGACTTCGTCCCGTTCGGACCCGCGTGTACTGTTTCAGTGGTGATGTCACGAAACAGCCAGGGACCTTGAGGGATAGTGACTCCGAGAGAGAGAGAGAGAGAGAGAGAGAGAGAGAGAGAGAGAGAGAGAGAGAGAGAGAGAGAGAGA